AGGTGCATTAGTGCCCAAAAAAATCTTTAGCTTGCACATCTGGACTTGCACCAGAAAAGCAAGGTGCCAAAACGTATAAACAGGTTTCAGAGCGACATATGCTCCCATCCAGACAATGTCTTTTTCAGGGAAGGTGTCCCATGTTTGAGCAGAACAACGCTAAACTACATACTGCTGCTGTTACTACAGCATGGCTTCATATTAGAAGACTGCTGCTGAACTGGCCTGCCTGCAGTTAGTCCTCTTACCAACATTTGGAAACCAAAAACAGGACAAAGAAGACCCAGGACTGTTGAGAGGCTGGAATTATCTATCAGACAATAATGGGACTACATTCCTCTCCCAAATGTCCAGCACCTGGTCTCCTCAGTTCCCAGATGTCTGTGGACTGTTGTTAAAAGAAGAGGGAATTTTACTTGGTGTTGCTGCCACCAAATGTTTGGACTTGAATTCCACCACCGCCTTAGCAGTTACATACCTCTCACATAGATTTCAATTCATGGTCCTTTGAGTGCCATTTCTTTCTATTATAATGTCTCTGATTGTGAATCCTGCCTCCACCAGCGGATAGCACGCTGACAACATCGCGAGGGGCATTAGCAGGAAAGACTAATTTAATAGAGACAGCGCTGCATGTGGACAGTGAGGTCGATAAAAGAGTCGAGTTGAAGCAGCAGTTATTGAGGTTCAAGCAAGGGTGTGAAAATGCTGTCATCCTGCCTGTGTGTCGAAAACTTGGGTTTTATTTTTGAACGTGAGGTATCTCAGCGCGAGACAGCCCTTGCTGTGGCCCCCCAGGACAGCAGCAGTCCACCTCATGGTGAACAGAAAGCGCTCAGTGGGAGATTGTGAGCATAATTACAGCAGTTTTGCCTCATTAGGAGTGAGGAGGCGTGACCCTGCCCAGAGGTCCAACAGCTGACGCGCACGGATGGTGGCGCTGAGAGATGTTCTTGGCTCACAGGAAGCTACGAGGGCAATCTGAGTCCTGAATCCTTTAATATGTGCGAATTCTGCAGTCCTTTTTGTCACGCTGTAAAATTACAAGCTGTGCATTCATTATGTTACATATGAGTACAGATCTACCAACAGTTTTACCAAAAGAGCTCGAAATATAAACAGCAAGTACTCATTTGGACTTCCTGTGAGATAAAGCTACGTGTTTACCACTGTTTGCTCTTTCACCCTTTCAGTTTCCAAGAATCTTTAAAGTATGTTACATACTAGATGATTTCAGCTCTCCAGGGCTCAAAACATCCTTCAGATAAGAAAAATCCAATATGGTAAAATCACAGGGTAATAACATGCCCTGTGTGGCTTAGCACAACACCGATGTGATTTATGGGTTAACAACCGGTCAGCTGTTTCTACAATAGAAGCTCGAGTTTAACCTCAAAACAATAAAAATGATGGTAAAGTTCTGCAAATATGTGCAGATGTGGAACTAAAACCTGTGAATGACACATAAGACAACGTTCAGAGATAAAGCAGAGAATAACACACAGGCAAAGCAACCACATGTCCCTGTTTTTTATCCACAGGTGAACCAGCCTTGTTGCCTGAGCCCCTTTCGACCCAGGTTAATCTAATGCATGATAATATGAAAGGTTGGAACCAGTTATATTACTGGGATCAAGATGACCCAGATTCTTACTAATGTATGTACTAATGTACTAAAGCATCACATTTGATAGCATAAACAGAGACAAACACATGGCCTGCAGCGACAAATTGTGCCACTGATGGTTTTGTAAAGTGTGATGAAAGGAAAGTGGGGAGAATTTTTTGTCTTTCGCTCTATTTTGCAGTTAAGGACGGTTTGTCTTCCAGTTTGTTCTTTTCATAAAAGCCAGAGATCTGAATTATTGTCAGTTTTACAGACATTACCTAAAGCCAGACATGTGAGACAGAAATAAAAGTTTTCTTTGTGATGACAGCACAGTGTGAGAATTTGTCTTTGCTTGTTGACATTAAATGATGGGAAACATTTTGAAAGTGTTTTATCTCAACACCTCGGGTGAAATATAAAACATTGCCATATTCAAAGTGGTGCAAAAAAACATTAAGTTTAAATGAATCAAAAGAAAATAAATGCAGATATTTTGATAACTCAGTAATTGTTTTAGTAATTTTTAAGCAGATAAATAAAAAAATACCTGTGCTCATTTGTCTCACATGATAGGAAAAAATATTTCCTTTGTGACCTCTGATTCACCAGAATAAATATATCTGAAGATGTTCACCTAAACGGTGAAAATCTAGAAGTCTCACTGTTCTATAAAATATTTCTATTGTTTTATTCTATAAAAAACTATTTTATAGACAGAATGATTAATTTAAAAAGAAAATCAGATTGTGGTAGATTAAAGTGACTGTTGCAGTCTCATGAAACAGCATAAAAATGGGGTGTAAGATAGTTTTCCACATTAAACTCACCTGTACAATACCAGCTGTTCATTGGTAACTGAAAAAAGCATACCTCTGCTATGCTTCTTTTCTTTTGTGTCTGTTTCGAGCAGGTTTAATAACATAACAGCCTGCTGATAAGATCATTTATAAAGATTTTACTCTCTCAATTCTGATTAGGATGAAGTAAAAATTACACTTTTTGCTGGCGTTTCTCAAAACGCACTCCTTGTGATGGGGACAGAGTGGCTTCACTCCTTTGTCCACTCTCACAACACCCTTTAATGTTGATGGGTCTTTCCTTTGCAACATAAAGCACAATCAAGCCACTGTTGCTATGAACCTGTGCTATATATATATACATATATATATATAAAAAACTGTGCTGAAGAAGTGCTGCAGAATTTCTCAGAAAGTTGCACATAAGAACCCCGAAAGTACCTCCACTCCCGGAGAACACCAATTTACTCCCTGAGTGCAAGTTTTAAGTAATAACAAACTGAATGTTTCTGTCCTAAACTCAGCATTTCAAAATAAAAGCCTGTGTTGAGACGTGGCGTCTCCCCTGAGGGATGGATGGGCAGCTCCCAGAGCGTATCCTGCATGCAGGCCAGTCCTGATAGGAGACACAGCACGAGACCACATGATGAAACGAAATGAAAGCTGGCGAAAGCCTCGGTCACTCAACACGCATGCATTCACTCACACACACACACACACACACACACACACACACACACACACACACACACACACACACACACACACACACACAACATGTGAGTGAGCTCGTTTTTCTTTCTTTCCCTGTATCTGACAATCTGAGCTTCTCGTCATTCAGTCGTGGTGTGGCTTCTCGGCCCATGCAGCACACCGTTGTCTGAGTCAGGATGGAAAGATGAGGACGGGGCATCCCACTCACCCTCCGCACGGCCGGAGACACTGCTGCGCTGCTGTCATGGCAACAGCAGCAGTCACCACCGCCAGCATGGGCCTGTAATGCACAGGCCAGGAGGAGTCACACACAAGCGCGCGCGCGCGCACACACACACACACAAAGAGAGCACGACACACGGTAGAAAACTGCACCGAGGAGGAAACCACTGATCCTAAATGAGCCTGTTTTTCCTCTAACATCTGTAGACACGCGCAAGCTGGGTTGTTCAAACACTGTCCCTAAACATAAAAGTCACAAATAATCTCATTATTCTTTTTTCGGAACACATTTTTCTTTCTTTTTATTGTTTTTGAAGATTTTATCGTGAATATAAATAATCTTCTTAAGCTGACTTCCAAAACATACATTGATATTTTATTCAGATTTAACGCCCATTAAAAAAAAACAAAAAAAACAAAAAACGAAAAAAAGCACTTTATACATTATTGGAATCTCACTCTGCGTAAAGTATTTCCTATTTAAAATCCTTCATCGGTGTTTTTTTTTAAAGAATGATTTCTGCCTCCACCCTCTTCCACCCTCCGTGTCTCCAAATCGGACATTTTCTCTGCGGCTGGGCAACATAAAGCTACTTGTAAACCGCAGGCTTTGCAGCAAATTACCAGTGTAATGCAGATTTGAGTGTGTGTTGTTTTTTCCCCCTTTACGTGGTAGAAAAAGCCCACAATGCAAAAGCTAATCCCATTCAAACAGGTGTTAGGAGCAGAAACAGTCCCAGGTGGCGCATGTTGATCGGATGCATGGCCATACAGGGGTACACTCTGAGCATCTTTGCGCTTTTTTCGAGGGGTTGAGCAACCCGCATCCGAAAATAGTGTTGTCTGTTAGAAAGTAGGTCGATAGGAACTGAGAGAGACGTTTGTTTCCACGCTTTTGTCTGTGTTCTTTGTTGTTTAGCGAGGACTGTGGGCTTTTTTTTTTCATAGCCTACCCTTGTGTGGAGCGTTTTACGCACAGGTGGGAGATACCCGCTCAGCATAGGACAGCCCCCCTTGCTGCTCCTCAGCGGATGATGTGAGGAAGTGACATTTTTCACCGCTGCGGTTCGGGACAGCACTGCTCCTCTGCAAACAGGTGTGCTGCTGTCCGGGTCAGTTTGACTGAGAAGCCACAGAGAGGTAGCGTCCCCAAACCTGAACCGAGCCTCCTGGACGCGGGACAGCGGGGACCAGAGGAGAAAGACATCCACCCGTTCAAGTCTGTTCTTTATTAGCCTGGGCTGTTTGAACGGTTTCAGACAGAGAGAGAGAGGGAGAGGGGGAGCAATGGCAACGAAAAAGGCGTGCGTGGAGGCACCCAAAAGGAGCCGGAGTCCGGTCGTTTTGGAGGCGGAGATGTTCAGTGAATTTCAGGACTGGTGTCTCCGGACTTATGGAGACTCCGGTAAAACAAAGACCGTCACCCGGCGAAAATACAACAAAATCATGCAGACACTGTTGCAGAACGACGAGTCGGATGGCGTTTATGTCGACAACAGCCACATCAACGCCAAATTCAAATTCTGGGTGAAGTCTAAAGGATTTCAGGTCGGGACCAACGTTTTGGGAGAGCACAACAAGAAAGGAGCTCCAGGGAAACCCGTTTTATACGTCCCGGTCAAGTCAACGGTAAAGTGTGTGTGTGTGTGTGTGTGTGTGTGTGTGTGTGCGTGCGTGCGTGTGCATGCTTGTGCATATGTGTGTGTGGCACAGAGAGGGAACGTGCGTGTACATGAGCATGAGGTGTCCCGTCGCCGCCTATAAGTTATCATTATATCAGGGTGCACACATGCACCTGTCACACGGATAAAACGCCAACTTGAAATGTTTTGTCGTCCCGTCTCGCCCTCATCCCTGCCGATGAAGCTTCACTTTGTCCACATCCCAACCAGAACAGCCCTACTGTCATCCCTTGCTGCCATAGCAACGCCGGTGCCTCCTGGCAATCGCATTTGAAAAAAAAACAACAAAAAAAAAAACAGGGAGTCAAGGCTATCAAGCAAAAGCATCTCACCAGCGAGGTTTAAGTCCTGTCAGCGCTGCTGGGTGCAAAGCACGAGATAATTTACTTACTGACAGCATTTTGCGTGAACCTTGCAGTTCGGGTCTCGTGTAGCCCGGTATGGTGATGCTGTGCGCGCGCACGTGGATGCAGCGGCATGTTGGTGGGTCTGTGTCAGGTTGCTCTGGTGTTACCAGCTGAGAAGCTGCAGAAGCTTCTTCTTCTTTTTTTTTTTTAAATCCAAACTTAAGATGATCACGTTCAGCGTTTTTCATGCCGAGAAGCTCAGCAGGTTTCATTGTCAGCGATTCATCAAAGGACACACGCACTCACTGTCCCATCTAAACCAAGAAGCACGCGCTGTGTCCGTGCGTCGACCTGGCTGATTTTTCTTTCTTCGGGAGGGCAAAGATAGGCTTCTAAAGTACTGAAAGAGGGGGCATTGTAACGAAATGGCACGGCGTGGCAAACAGCCCGAGTGTTTAGTCCCCACTTTTCATTGTCCTGGGCAGGATGCGGATCGGCTAACAGGCATTCGTTGCTCTGGCAACACCTGTGCAGCCCAGGACAGCCCGCCTCTGCCGCATTTTATTCTGTAGTCTACGATCCGACGTTAAGCTCTGTAAGCTCGTCTAAGATTATCTTCAAGAGAAACTCACTGCAGGTAATTTCCACATTTTAGCGGAGAGTATAAGCGGTGCGTAATTGGTGACCACGTGAGGGGCTGTGGCGGAAACAAAAGGGTCTGCTCTGGGCTGATAGCGACATACGCCCACAGTTAGTACTCAGACTTCACTTCTCCGTTCTCCTGGATGATGTGTGGCGATGTTTCGCTTGTAAAATGGAAGTCAGGTCAGTGAAGCTGCAGGTGCTTCAAGGGTTAAGTTTTATTAGGCCTATTTGTCGGACTGGCCAGATAAACATGTGCATGATGAACTGTCAGCCAGTGCCCCAGCAGCTTTTCCTGCACGCGGAAAACAAACACGCTGGCTGTGCTCACGCGCGCGCGCCCATGTCTATGTATGGTGCTTGGGCCTGCTGTGCCAGCACGGAGACAACCACCATTTTAAATAAGCGCCTTCAGGAATAATCTCCCCCACCCGGCCTGCTGGGACAGAGTCTCTCCGGACCTCAAAGAGCAGAAACACATTTCCTGCGAACAAACCGGAGAAGATTCTGGCTCCAGTCAGAGACAGAGTCCTTTGACTTTTAGCTGAATAGCACTGATCCCTCTACAGGTGTTTTACCTGTGTGAATGGACGATTTAGACTACAAAACTCCTCTAATCTCGGCTCAATATTGTGTTTCCCCCCTGAGCAGGAGGGCAGGTGTGATCTGACTCCGCAGGTGCAGATGGTGCCTGAAATGTGATGTTGATGAGCTTTTGTCTGTTTTTTTTTTGGCCATTTCTAGTTGATACCAATTTAATATATTGATCAATATAACCTGATCAGCTTTAAAAAAAAAATCCATGTGAAAAGCAGATGAGCTGAAATAAAATCTGAACAAGGCCTTAAAAGTGTGGTTCTTTTTAAAAACAGGGTACCTTAATGTTTACTGGAGAGGAGTGTGCACACTTTTGTAGCTAATATCAGAAGGCAGGGGGAAACCTCCCCCTGACTCAGCTGCACTTGGGAAATTTAAACAACAAACAAAACATCAGCCAACAAAAGCTGCTTCTGATGATGAGTCAGAAGCCACAAATCAACCAATTCATGTGCATGTGACTGCTATAGAAAGCCCGATTTTTGATTCAGCTGGTCTTCGTGGGCTTTATAAATAGGCTGTCCGGTGCCACTGGAAAAGGAACACGCACACACATGTACAAACACGCACACACAATGGTCAGTGCCTGCTCGCAGGGCTGCAGGGCCGGGGACGTATCTCTGGAGCGCGAGCACTGGAAGCCCCTCTGCAGCTGCTCCCAGGGTGTGCCAAGTTTCTGTGTGGGAGCAGGCATGGGGCTAAATGACGGGAGGCTGGGTGGGGGTAGGGATGGTTGGTGGCTGATGTGCAGACAGAGAAGGTCTCTTCTGTGTGTCAGCGAAGCATACAAGGCGGCTTCAGTGTGTGGCAGGACAGAAAGACAGGGCACAGTAGCACAGACTCAGCGCTGATGCCTCTTTTCAAGCCGGGACACAGAATTATTTTCTGTCCTCCTGCTCCTGTTGTCTCGCCCTCTTTCTGCACATCTCAGAGCCCTGCAACTGCTCGGAGAATCCAGCAGCCCTCAGTGTGGAGATGCAACCTCGTTTAGCTCTCATTATGTCCTGATTAGAGGACGCTACAGAGGAGGAGGGGGATAGGACCAGAAACAGACACAGAGATGCACCACAGAATTTTACACAAAATGAGCACAAGCCTCTTCCTGAGTGAAGAAACGGGGCTTAATCGCCCTGTGCATTTCCTTTCAGCTGACATGAGCATTGTACTGAAGAAAATTTTTGAAAAACTGCGAGCTGTTGCTTTTTGTTGCCATGCCTACTGAAAGCTGTAAATATCTCTGTTCATGTCTCACGGCTTTGGTGGACATGCTCTCACACAGAGACACACAGAAGTACTTCACATGAAAGGGGCTCGAACTGTGCGCACAGGACATGCTGGCACAGACTGTGAACCAGACAAAATAAGTGTTCATTTAAGCCCATTTAACCGTTTAATAGACAAAAGAGAAACAAACGATGTAAAAACTAAGAGCCTATCAGCAGAAATCAGCATCTAAACAAGCAGAAAACAGTGAAACGTCATCATAGTCAGGATTGTTCTTTCTTTCTTTTTTTTGGTCCAAAGCAGTTGACTTCTGATCAATAAAGCTACAGATTATTGTCTGTCAATCAGCCTTTTCACCTTTTCTTTTAAAGAATTGAATACTTATCTTTGTCTTTCTGCTTTGGGCTTCTTAAATGTGAGAATTTCTTGCTTTTGTTCTTATTCCACTCATGTCGAGCTTTGCGCTGATAAAAGAAAGAATTTAAAGGGACACAACCTCGAGCCCCTTTCAAGATCTTCTGACATTTTATTGACAAAATCCCACATCAATCAATAGCTGACAATGACAATAAACATTAGTTACAGCCACAAAGTGACAGCACATGATCAAAGGAAGACATGATTACCACAGAAAGAGGTTTTCAGACTGAAGAACTGAATGAAGCTTTATTTCCTAAAATAAGGGTTTGTCTCGGGACGTCCCCACATTGTTAGTCCTTATCCATGTCTCGGAAAATGGGCACTAAATGTTTGCTCCTCGCCCACGTCAGATGGGATGAGGAACATCATCATTATTATCTGATTAATTAGTCCGCGTTTCCCCTGAGAGCCCGTCTTTTGTGGATGGGCCACAGAGTCAAAAGAATACTGGCCCTATTATTCAGCAGCATTTGCATTAATGCTATTTTTTGCATAGAGAGTCTCCAGCGCTTTTGTCCAGCCTTTTTTGTTTCATCCTTCTCTGGCAGCGCCTATTAGGAGCAACACATGGGCTCACGCTCGTGGGTTCAAATGGCAAAAGGCTCAGCAGCCCAAACAAGAATCAACGCAGTTGTTCACATCTCGTTCTTCATCAGAGCTGCAGAGAAATCACCCAAGCACCTCTAATAATGATTGACCTGTTCCTTTTATTTATTTATTTATTTTAAAGGTTTTGAAGTGGCTGTTTACCCCCAAATCAAATATCATTATTTGTCCTCTGGCCTGTTTTGTTATTTATCCATCTAGAATGTTTTAGAGTCATCTACCCAGTATTGGAGATATCGAACAGTATAGATGTCTGCCTTGTCTTGAATATTATGAAAGGAAATGGCTCTGGTGACTAAGAAAAATCAAAAAAACAATAAAAAAAATCAACAAACCTTTGTGAGGTGGGCAGTTTCATTTTGGGACTACTTTCTTTGTACTAAACTATCCCCACCAATCGTATCACTGCGCACTGATAACAGGCTCCTGCTTGTGACAGGAAGTGCAACATGTTCTCATCCCTGGGTGTAATATAATGCATTTTTGTCACATGTCACCCTGGGTCTTATTATTAAAAACAAGGTGTCCACGGAAATATTGGCAGAAGAGACACACAAAGTCTGCAATAGGAGGGTGGGAGCAGTCTCATAAGTCATTAGGAGACTGGGCTTCTTGTCTTATCGGGTCCTTTCTGTTTTGCACTTCTTCCTTTTTTTACTTGGTGATTGTTGTTCTGTTTTTCACAGCCTTTAACTTTCACTTTGACTCACAGGTTATGTTTAGAGACTGGAAACTACTTGGTTACATTGAGCAAAAGATCCAAGTTTGGGGTAAAATGCATCTCTGCATGTTGAAAAATGACTAAATCGGAACACAAACGTCCAAGGACACCCTGTGTATTGAATGCCCATTAGCTGGCTGCAAACATCCTATTGTTTGTGGGTGCAGTTAGAAAGAAAATAGTTCCTATATGAAACTGCTGGCTCAAACTAAGAGACAGGGAAGAAGTCCGAACAGGAGATTTTTGTAAATAAAAAATGATTTATTGCGAATAAACTAACAAAACACAAAGACCAAAGATGGTTGGTAGAAGGTAGAAGCAGGAGAGAGATCCTGGGACAGATTTTATCACTCCAGGAAGGCCTAGGCATTAGCTGCAATAGCTGACGACCCTCCAAGCATTTCATGTCACTGTTCTTTCCCGTTGGAGCGCCAAACGAGACGTCACAACTGCTGGCATGGTGCACTTTAGTGACATTTTGATTGTTGTGCACCAGGCTGGAGGCATTTCTATGATATATCAATCAGATGACGGAGAGGGAAATTGCTTGAACGTTTAGAAAAGATAACAAGGAAAAAAAGGAAGATTATAGTTATGGTGTCATAATGTGAACCAGAAATGACGAATGCATCAGCTGTAAACCCGCTTAAGTCAACTGTTGTACAAGATAGTCCAAGGGCTTTCACACTGGGTCATAATTTCTGGGAAGAGACGTTGCTGCTGAGTGTTTCGATTCCCATTTAGTACCGTTATAGCCAAGGAAACGCAGATCGTCTGCATGTATAAAATAACACAACAGGAGCTGAGGTGATTCTTCTTTTAGCAGCTGAGCATTTGAACTTCCGAGCCCATGCTTTGCTCCTAAGAGGGGCTGAACAAAAAAAACTGCCCTCAAAGCTGGAGATGTGTCTCATTGGGGTCTTCTTTGTTAAACAGGAGTCAATTAAAGATCCATAAAGAGTATATTTATGGCAGCATTTGTTCATGTGGTCATCTCAGACTTTGCTGCGTTACTGTGACTTACTGTAAACGGGTGACGAAATCCATACTGTGCGCGAGCGTGTGTGCTCGTACAAAGAGGGGGTCGCTGATCGCATGCTCTGTGTTTCCTCCCTTCAGCACCCTCTCTGTTGCCATGGAGAGACCGTTCTTTGCTTTCCCATAGGAGGAGAAATTAACACCATTTTTAACTGGCCCAGGGGCCTCCCCCCTGTGTGGGAGATAGTCTGAGTTGTGCTCCGCGCACACACACAGCCTTAAAGACGGCAATAATCTCCCTACCACACCGTTGCTGTCATTTTTAATACCTTTGCAAGGCCAACGTTTAACGAACTGGGACAGCATGATAATAGCCTGAAAACGGTGAAATGGACTCTGGGATGTGATGATGTATGTGCGAGTCATTTACATACCATTTTAAGTCAGTGACTGAAACGTCAACAGTGCCAGTCTGCTGTGGGCCAGAGGGACCGTCTGTGTCTCCGACTCGGTGGGATATTGGGGATGTCACACACTCTATCAAATAATGTTCATCATGGGAGCAGCCGAGAGGGACGAGCACACACCGAGACACACACACACCCACACACACACACACGGAGACGTCGGACAGAGGGGTTGAGCTCGGTGCACCTAATGTGGATTTAATGACGGGCCTTTATGAAATGAAGCAGACAGGAGAGGATGATAGTGAAAAGAAAAGAAATAGAAGGGGAGGGGGGACGTTTTATATTATAAAAATGGGGACAGTGTTGAGGTAAGAGTTTCTTTTATCCCAGTTTTTTTCCATGACAAACCTTTGTCTTGCGGTGTTGTCCCCATGACACACATACAGGCGCAGGAGGAACAAGGATTGGCCCATTTATGTACCCATTAGCCAGCTGATAGATTTACAGAGGGGAGATGGGACTTTAAAAGATGACCTGTTGTCACATCTGCCTTGAGATCATCTGAGTCATGAATACTGTTGACACAGCCATCTCCCTGTGTTCTGGGTGTACACACACATGTAAACAGACACACACATAAAAGCACCTGAGCACATATCCCTGCACCATCAATTTACGCTACTAATTGTGCAACAATCCTGCAAAATAGAAGTTGCATTTCACTTTAAATGGGACCTATTATGCAGTTCCCTTTTTTGCCTGTCGCTAAAGTGGATTTCTTTTTTAAATAATGAGTTTTAAATAAGGAGGTCAGTGTATGTGCAACCATCCCGTGAGCCTAAAAGCTTATAACACTCAGGTTTAACACATCTGCTGTTTACACTGTAATATTCTGCTTGAGAGGGGCAGCCAATTAGAAGAAAGATGACTTAAAAGGAGTGGAGAGGCAAAAGCTGCAATTCTTCTGGTGGCCACTTGAGGCTTAATTCCAACAGTGAGTCAATATGCATAGACTTCAATGTTAAAACCATGTTTACAGCCTGGTGAAAAATATTTTGGACTTTGTGGATAGTTATCCCTATTTTTAAGAAAAAAGTCAGGCAGTTGGAGAGTCATAAGCCTTAAAAATAGGGGCTGTTTGGCTCTTTTAACAGGTTTTAGCTAAGTTTACTCACCAAATAGGACCTCTGAACTTTTTTTTTGTGCCTTTGGCGCCTTTTGAACCATTTTAATCAAATTATAAATCTAATAGTATGACTTAGTGTGCACTGTATACAATCCTCAAAATCTCTTTTTGTATTTTATTAGTCTGTTGAATTAGCACCCCACCATTTTATCCAAGCAAGGTCACTTTTAGCTCAGAAAAACAACATGGTGGTTGCCAAAGTGATAACATGAGAGAAGAGAAAACAGTGGAGATCATCACAGCAGCTACATCTGTCTTTTATCTACAGTCTATTGTCTCAGGCAGTGGTTAAACCCAGCGACACCAGGACCCGGACTGAGAATAAAGCTTATTTTAAACTGTGAATCATGCAAAGCTGCACAGAACTGGAAACCTGCAGGTTCACTTTAATTAGATTTCTGATTTTCAGATTTCGGCCTGTCCCACTCGTGTTTATCTGGTCGGCCATGGAGCTAATTTCTTGTGTGATACATCTCTTCTATCTTTGGCGGCCTGTCTTTGTGACCCAGCTGCTTCCCCTGAACCTCCCCCCACCTCCTCCTCTCTTCCTCCTCCTCCTGACCTGCCTGTGTGCAGGACTGCTCCTCTCTCCCCTCGGCGACTCTAGGCTACAGTTGGTGTGTGCGCGTGTGTGTGTGCGCGTGTGTATGTGTGCGCGCGACTGCCAGCGGGGGTGGGGGCAGTCGACTCAACCCCTCCAGTCTCCTAGCAACAGAGCGGTTTGGTGCGGGACAGGGGGAGGCGCAGGGGATGGGGGCTGGTTGTACAGTGACTGGGGAGAGCAAAGTCCTATGGGATTACAAAGATGGAGGGAAGGAGGAAAGGCGAAGAAGGAGGGTGAGAGTTTTGCTGTGTTGTTGCCGATTAGGGATGCTGACATGTCTCCTTTGCGCTTTAGAGCGGCATGTTGCTGAAGAGACCAAATATCTACAGCTCTGCTCAACAGCTGTTCTCCTCAGAGATGCTTCAGCTCTGCCCGGTAGACATATATACTGCGCTTAAACACACACTGAGAGCAGGCTGTGGTTAGAGGTGAATGTTTAACTCTCTGTTGACTAAGAAAAACCCAACTCATTGACGCAGGGAAGCCCCGAGAAGGGGCCTTCATGAAGCAGGAAATGCACTTTTAGCTCAGTGCTCTCACCAAAAACTGTATATAAAAGAGAGCTACAGCCACTGTGGGATCCTTTGGTTTCTGAAGCCTCATTTTTAGTACTTCGGCCAACGTTATGTTGTTTTTTAAAAACTCGAATGAGACACATTTGGGGAAGAAGGTGGAGTGCGCCGTTATCAGCTTGGTTAGTAATTAAACAGCTATAAACTGTAGGGATGCAAAACAGAGACGCAGATGCCTGCTAATAAACACTAAACAGCATAAAAAAAGAAAAAAAAAATCCAGCTTAACTCACCAAACTGGAGCACAGACTTCTTGGAATGGCTTTGGGGAAAATAAATCATAGAGGAGGCCAGATTATTTGACATATAAAGGCATCAACACCACAAAGATGGTAAACAAGTCCAGTTCAGGGATTTAGGTTAGTAGAGGTGACGCTGAGCAGGCCGATAAAACTGTCCGCAGCACTCACTAAGCAAACTTTACGTTTAAGGCAAGTCAAATGCAGGAGATATAAAAACAGTTACCTTACTTTATTTGTTATAAACTCAGTAATAGAACTGTGTAGACGCTTTGATACCAGGCTGTAAACTGGTTTATTTCGTTTTACCATGGGTCTGTTTAAAGGTTGAAACCAGCCTCAAGTGGCCACTACAGGAACTGCAGTTTTTATGTTGATTTCATTTATTCATTAATCAATTTTTTACCTTTTAACATTTAGTAGTTAAAGTTACTTTCAGCAGCTCTATTATTCGCAACAGCTCATCAAAGTGGATATCCCTGCAGGTCTCAGCCAGCAGATTTTTTTTTTTTATCAAGTAATCTCTTTTTCCTCCTTCTGCCTAAATTTTGGCGTTTTGGCTGTCACCGTTTTGGTTCTTTGAAATCAGAGGTGATGACGAGGGCTGACGTAGTCCTGCCATCTAGCACAGCCGCTTTATTTCCCATTTGGACTCTAATGGACACCACTTTTTACAAGATGAACATTCACAGAACCTTAAACACGGGAAAGAATTAATAAACTCAAACTAAGCAACAGCCGAGATCATAGATCAAGTGAGGAGTCATTTATTTATTTTTTAATACATGAGTCGCCCCCTGGTGGCCATGAGAAAGAATGTGTTTCACTTTGCAGACGATGTATTTTTGACATACAGTCGCCTAGTTTTTCATGATGAGGCTGACAGCACAGGCCCCCAGGTACAGTTTCTTACTTATCTATTTTTATATATAGACAGATAGACTTAATGTATGGGAATATTAAGTAAATTGCGACATTACAGCCGCTTTAAAATAGACACACTTTCAATAACAACAACAAAAGCTTGGAAAGTAAAAAGTAGAATATTTCAATAAAAGTGAAGAAACAAATAAAACTAGCTCAACATATAATTTTAAATAAACACAACAAATAATAATGTCTCCATTTTATTTTAGAGCGCAAAGTTTAACAAACAGATCAGAAAGAGAGAAAATAATAGATGCAAAAAAACAAACAAATAAACAAATGTTGGTTATGGTTCAGGCTCATGCAGCAGGTCTGACTGTGATGATCTGCAATATTTTCTGCGTGTGATTCTTTCAGGTCAGAGAAAACGCTCCCAGCAGAATATCCGGTGAGTGCTGTGGATATTTTGCAGTAGCAGAATTCAGTGCAGGATGCAGCAGTGGTGTGGGTGCACTGCACATCCCACAGTTGTGTGAGATTATCCAAATCCAGCGTGAATGGGCCGACACCATTGTCCCAAACAGCAGCAGCAGCAGCAGCAGCAGCTTCAGTGGTGGCGGTGGTGGTGGTGATGTCACCAGGGGAAAGATGATGATACCTCCAAGTGCGATAGATTACAGCTGTGATGATGAGGCGGAGGATCGCTATTATTTCATTTATTATCATTACATTTAGCCCATGCTGACAGGGGAGAGTGGAGGGAGAGAGAAAGAGAGGGAGAGGAGGGCCGGATTAAAACAAACCCGCTCTGTGAGCTGGTTTTAGTTGCCATGGCAACGATCATTACCTCGCACTTGGGAGAGCAGGAGCAAGGAGAGAGAGGATGAGGAGGAGGGGAGACGGGACGGAGGTATGGGATGAAGAGATGCAAGCAGGAGAGAGGACGCAGTTGGGGGAAAACAAAAAAAAAGAAGAAAAAAAAGGAAATGTCAGATCCCAGGAAGTGTGCAGAAATGTCACAGGAGAGAGAGAGGAGGAGGAGGAGGTGGGGTGTGCGGGGGAGTGTGATTCCTCGATGCCAGGGGGACAACTTTTTGAACTCGGGACCCTCCTCTCACTCAAACACGAAAAGATCACTCCCCAGCTAGAACCCAATCTCCAGGAAATGTCAGAGAGCCCGTCTCGTATTTGCCTGGAAGAGGTGGAGAAAAAAAAAAACTAATTAAACGTCCAGATCCATTTGTTCCATTTTACGCTCGCTGGAGGACTTTGCGTTCAAAAATATCAGCAGGTGCTCGGCTGTAACGACAAAATCTGGTGAAAATGCAAAGTGTTGAGTGTTCTGTATGAAGGTGTTGTTTAGAGGGGAAGATAAGGAGGAAGGGGTGGGGGTGTAGGTGGGGGGTGGGGGGGAAGGAGAGGAAAGCCCCATGTGGTGCTGCGGATGGAGGCCGTTGTCCTGGCGATCCTACTTCTATGGTGTGTCACATGACCCTTTGCCCAGCACACCTGCCCGAGAGAAATCAGTGGCAGTTTCTATGGCGACAGGGTCAGCAGTACGGGAGGCAGGATGGCTGCCAGAGGTGGTGGTAGGAGGGACTGTTGGTCTTGTACAGTGTTATTTTTAAACATAGCAGAGATGAGGTGATGGTTGCAGACCCAGCCGGGGCCCAAACTTCTCCACCTAACGGAGACATTTAAAGACTGCAGGAGGTGAGCTGGACAGGGTTTTTTTTTTTAAATTTTAAACTGGGGACAGAAAGCAAGTCAGAATGGGCCCATCAGAAATCTGAAATAAATAGCAAACCAACGTGCTTTACAAAATAGAATATTTGTAGGTTTGAATGATTTTTTCTTTACTTACAGTTACGTGGGAAAATAAGTAAAATCTGAAATGAAAATCCGTTAAGTGCTATTGCACATATTTCATAAGCCCATCTTTTTACAAACAGCCTATGTATCACATTAAAACATAAAAACCCATGTATGCACACAATTTTATAGCCAACTTACCTAATTTATTATTTATTCAAACTATGACAAGAAGGAAAAATCCTTTTAATCCCAGTTTTCACCTTTGCTCAAAGCTTCCCACCCATGCTCATTAAATTAAATTCCTATGAATATTCTTTTCCAAAGCCCGACGACACTTCAAAAACATTTTAATTGTTCTGATGGTTTTAATTGTGGGCAGACCTCCTGCCTCCATAACCGTTTATTAGGAGACGTGGCTGCCTCGTTAACGATATCTTGGCTAAATTAAAGCACAGGATTTAACCCCGTAGCGATGGAGATGGCAGTGACTTAAAATCAGTGTCTCACACCTCCTTTGTTCTAAGTTCAGCTTTGCGAGGACTTAGAAAGTAGAGAATGTACTGAACTTTAAACTTTATGGATCTACTGTATTGGCGTCAGACCCGCCTTTTCTCCAACAATATCCATAATTGGTTGCTTTCATGCAAGAACACAAATTTATGGTGGGCCCTAGGTCGGCCTATCAAATTTCAGGCAGTGTAGAGCCAACCAAGTATCCCTGTTCATAGCCACACCTCTGCACACTTCCAGCTTTGTAGAAGACTCTCCAGAAGGAATGGGGCTGTATGGCGCTGCAGTTCATAAATGTAAATTTCTTGGGGTAAACATGGTTTGGCCAGCAATTCTCATCATGTGCTGTGTTTTCAACAGTGTGGATGGTTCATCTGAGGATGTAGATGGGCCAAATGCTGATATCCATACTCACAGACTTTCAGCATCCTTCCTAAATCCACGAGGGCTCAGGCATGTCCTGCTATTAAACTGTCAAGTGGATTTTGAAGACTTGAAACACCTTTTTCTGTGACGTTAAACACAAGGGTGCAGTGCAGCTCTAGTTGTCCCTTGGACAATGCTCAAATCATTCTGTCGTTCATTTAAGTTCCTTGTGTGCCGTGAAGACAGTAAAATGTAAAATAAGAAGTCCTGAAGCTTGACTACATAATAAACTCCTGTCTCTCTGTGTTTTAGTGTTCTGATGGAAATTCAACCCAGGAGAACTCCTCCCTGAAGCGCGTAGCCGTGGTTGAAGACTTCTTTGACATAATCTACGCCATGCATGTGGAGATGGGCGCCGATCCCGGCAGAGCACCCAAACATGCAGGCCAAAAGAAGACCTACAAAGCGGTGAGTAAACACAACCAGGTGCCTGCAAGGTGCAAGTAATCATGCTGCTCCTTGCTGATAGTGTGTGGGCTGACAGTAACAGCAGCCAAATATTATATGAAGTCAATATAAACTCGGCAGTATTAACATCATATTTTATTTCCTCTTGTCTCCTCTGTTTCCTTACGACGAGCAGTAGTGCTGCTGCCTGTGGTGGGAAACAGGAGAGTGAGCATATTCAGCTCAGAAAAATGAGAGGTTGTTCACATGTTGAAGTTTGCAAGCTCCCAAAAATTTTATTAACAGAAATATGTTTATAAGATTCACCGTGCTTATCTTTAGAAGTATTTTAAAAGCTATAAAGACAAAGTGCAGCTGAGACCAATGTGTTTAGTTTTTATTTTAAATATTTGGTCAGTGAGTTTTGGATTATTCAAATTTTGACCACCAACATCAACAAAATTCATCCTCTGGGGAAAAATTATGCTGAGACATGCAACATTCCTTTCACTAGCTGTAACAGGAGTAATAGATTACATCTTCCAACATGTCCTGGAGCTGAAAGATCCCACGTCAACGAGCCTTACACCAAATACACAAACAGCAGAGTCTCATTGCAGCTGGTTCTTGTGCAAATTCATGAAGTGAGGAATTTGCCAGTTTTCAGAGCCAAAAAATCCCAGTTTTAATGCTGAGGCTGGTGGAGGTGCATTCATTTAGCCACTTTAACATGTAACTGATACACTGCTTAGTCTCTAATATACTTCAGTTTTTATTTATTGTTCGATCAGGATTAGGGTTTAAAAGGAATCTATTCACTTAAAAAAAGAGTTCTTCTGCAGAATTAAACACACATTGAACAGCTCAATTTTCTGAGGGTTTCGACCCATCGCGAGATGACGACACTGCACATTTTACATGAATTTATTCACAACGCTGTCAGAGATAATTACCTTAACAAATTGTCTGTGTTTCCGTGGGTGGACATGTTAAAACGACCCTTTCATGTTGTTGTTTATGAACATATAAAACATAAAGAAGCTTATATGATATATACCTGAACATCTTCCCATCCAACGTCACTTTAATTCATGAAATTTCGTACAAGCATTTGCAGTTTCAGATACTCCTGTTTCTGCATCATTGTGCAGCACACTTGTTTGATGATTGACACATTCACTGGGACTGATGTACTACTTTGCCTTTTACATTCAAGATGAGTTATTTAACAGTAAAAAAATACTAAAAAACCCCCAAATGTAGCATCAGTGCCTTCTAAAAACCTGCAGCTAGCAGGCATTGGCATAGCGATTGACATACTCTCTAAACTGTAGCCGAGTAGGCGTCCGTAAAGCGTTACAAACTTGTTTTTTCTCTTATAGCATCGACGTACTCGTAATCCACTACACAGCCATGATTTCTGAATGGAAACGCACAAATTTTCACTCAAGCCTGCCTGCATTTAGTTTGCAATATCTGACTGTGATTGGTGTGCTTTTCAACATTTGAAACTCGTTGTGATTCTGAGAAAACAATACAAATAAAGATCTAAAATCTAGATATAATCTCCCTCCACTGGTGAAAAACTGTGAGGCTTGCAAGTGTAACTTTTCCACCACTGTGATTAAACTACTTGGGAAGATGTAGAGCACTTCATGTAGCTGTACTGGGTAATGTGAACTCATTTGTGCGTGAAAAGTATGAAAATGCACAATTCATAATAAAGTTTCTTCAAAGGAAAAAATAAATCCGTGCCTAATGCAGAAGTATTGTGCATTAGGCTAGCTCTAGCAGCTGTAATTTTTATCCAAAGTTAATAATCATCTGTCTGTTTCTCACCTGAATATTTGCCTGTGGAAGCTCTTGGAAATATTGCGTAACTAAAAACATATTTTTTGGGAGACTATAAAAAGCGTGTTGACAACCTCTCTTTTCCTTTGTGTGAAATGTGGCCCACAGTTGCAGAGAGCTTAAAATAATCCCAATGTGATTAGTGGATTTGAAAAGAAGAGGCAACAAGTGAGGTCTTTGTAGGGGGTCCCAGACTCTGATCATCCACATGGCTAAAAGCAGGAGAATCAAAGAAGGCCAAATTTTGTGAGTCTGGGAATCATAATATATATTTTTTTAGCTTTAAGTAAACAAAGTCGATGCGGGGATCAAACCACAAATGTTTTTTTCTACCACATTATTCATCCTTTTAGAACAAAGAGCTTCTGTTAGTTTCTGCTGCAGACTGAGGTGTGGTCTCGGGCCGTGTAAGCTGTCCTGACAAAATGAGGGGCTTTGTCTGCAGCCATAGAGGTGCAGCGGCAGCATTTGTGGCTGGGTGGGTGGATGGGGGGGTTAGCAGGACGCTGGTACCCCTCCTCTTCTGCCATCCCCCCCAGGAATAAAAAAAAGTCATAAAGCCAGTTCCACTTGCCCCGTAGAGAGGTCCTGTCATGTCTCATAGAGTGTACCCTTTTGAGCAGGCAGCATCACTGGGGCCGGGCATAATATGGAACTGTCACTGTGGCCTTCTGGGACGTGCGCGCTCCTCTGGGTGGCCTTTCCCTCTCAGCTGCCTCTAGGGGCCGTGAGGGGTGGTGGGCACCCCCACTGCCTCTCCATGGTCACGTGAAGGTCGCATTTTACAGGGAAACGCCAGAGGGGGCGAGGAGGGGAGGGTGGCATGGCAGTGGGGACAAACAGGGTAGGAAGGCTGAACATGAGAGGAGAGGTGTAGATATAAGTTAGCTGCTCCCCAGAGAACAAGAAGAGAAAGGGAATCGGAAAAGATGAGCACCACTTGTGTTTTACGGTATCAAAGCAGGAGTACGGAGGGGGGCTGCAGCTGGAATTAGGCCATCCAAAAGCACCAGCGATCGCCTAGAGGGAGGATTCCTCCTCATGCCATGTCGAGATAACACATAATCACTGACCCCATGCTTTCACACATGCACAGAGGAATTTAAAAAACAAACCAAAAAAAAAAACACCTGCACACAGTTTGAGTTCAGCCACAGCCTGAGCCAAATCTGCTAACCCAGTGTCCTCCGCTTGCTACCCCGGCACAGATTGCAGAGACTTACGCCTTCCTGCCCAGAGAGGCGGTGACTCGGTTCCTAATGAGCTGTGGAGAGTGTCAGAAGAGGATGCACATTAACCCCAGCACTGCTGAGTTCAAAGGTAAAGGCACACACTAACCCAGAGACATCATTAACTGATGCACTATTTTTGAGATCAACCTTTAAGAGTTGTTAATGCTGAGATGCTTTGACACACTGACATGGAAAAGAGCTAATTACTATCACGTGATCATGATATTCTTAGATATACTGTGTTTTATCACATAGGACAGAGATAAGATAGAGGGGGTTGGCATCTGGATGACAGAAATTATGCTACATTGTCCTGTCAGACACTAAATATGAGCTGATATGATCTGAGGGATTTGTACTTTGAAGAGTTTTGAATCAAACCCTCATTAATAAAACATATGTGTGTATCCATCACTGACATGATGTAACAAAGACTCAAGAGGGCCGGCTCTCTGGGACCGTACACAGCCTCTAAAATGATCACAGAGTTCCTCTAGTGGTCGGTGTGGAGACTGCAGGCACCTTGCCAGACACATTGTTTGGTTTCTGGTGTTAACTACAGCAGAGACTTGGATTTCTTTTGCAGGGTATTGAAGCAACTCTGCTGTACACAAAGCATTTGTCTGCACGATTAACTGAGAGCTTTTAGAACTTCTCCACAGAGGGATTCAGCAAAGGGAGAAAAGCCAGTCCAGTCTTTGTGCTAGTTCTTCAAAACTATAAGAAAAAGAGATGATAGACAGATAAAAGAGGGGGGTTCACTGTATTAGACAATGTATAAAATGAAAAGACATTAAGAAGGGGTCAGAGTAAAAGGTGACAAATTATATTAAAAGAAACTGAACAAGACCCGAGGCTGTTTCTAGCCAGAATAGCATAATTGTAATGAAAATGGATATTAATAAACATCAATAAACTTTATTTTTTAAGTCCCAGAAAGCTGACACTCACTAAGTATGACAAATGATGTTAAAAGTAACTCGTGTACAGAAAGATAGTAGTTTTTCTGTTTTAAAATATTCCAAATTCCAGCAGGTGAGTTGTATTTTTGGAAACCGTGCACTTTTGTTGTGTTTCATTTTTCCTTCTCAAGTTTTATAGTTGTTTAGCTAAATAAATACTCTTTCAAGAGACAGACACTAATTGCTAGTGCTGCAAACTGCAGTTGTTTATGTGCTGATCTTATTTCTGTTGTAGTTTTTGAGAATGTGGTAGTATTACAGCTGACTGCATTACACCGTGAGGTTTTTCTGCTTTGATGTCCAGCTAGAGCATCACAGACAGATATATATAAAATCACAGAATCTGAGCTGACCCAGTGTAAAAACAAGGATCTATTGCGCTTTTCTCTGATACAGTTAGAATGGTAGATGTTCATATTAAATATGGCCGAATTTTTAAATCTTAAGTATGCTGTATGCACAAGTAATCTCTGTGAGCCAGAAGCTAACATTGTAGACTCCTCTAAACACTCTGTTACTCACAGTTTTTTCTACTCTTGACTCTCTATGATGTCATTGAGAGGGAAGATCCCTAATATGGTCATCTCAGCGACACACGGTGCAAATTTCTGACTTTCCAGTTGTAGCTTTGAACTGGAACACCCCTTAAGTCAGACTTCCAACTCAGAAAGTCAGAGCAGTCCCACCAACCCGAACTTAAAAATGTAAGATGGCAGCAATTCACATAAACGGCGGTAAAACTCTAAAAGAAGTCATCTGTACAGCCACTGATGTGTGTTTGTGACTCGCTAAATAAGCCATGCACAGAGCACTGATAAGGCTCTATCCATGAACGTACTTTATCTGTGTTTTTAAGCACAAAAAAAAAACCAGTGATGCTAGTGATGAATGAATGGCTGTACCTTGCTAAGCAGCATTTGCTTTTTCAAATTTGCTACTGGAACGCTCTCAACTAGAAGTAACGTCATTTCCAACTCTGAAATTAAACCTCTGAGTGAAATGAAACACAACAACAAGTCTGCCTGTGAATGCAGAAGCTCCACCCACCCAGTGTTTAAACAAACTGCTGCGAGGGGCAACCAATCAGAAGAAAGCTAGTTAAAGGAATGGAGAACTAAAATAGCAAAGTCAATATACTTCAAGTACCCCAAGAGTGATGTATTAACATGGGCTCAGTAGTAACTCATTAATGAATATTTTATAATGTGATCACATATTTTATATTTCAAAGTAGCAAGTAAGTAAATGTAGTGGAATAACTAATAATTAGTGTATAAATATTAAATAGTATAAATATTAAAGCACCTCAATATTATAATTACAGCAGCAACACAATTATAATAATGACTAGGTTACCTTAATTCATGCTTGTACTGTAATTACACAATAAACTGTGTGTTTGTTATGCTTTCCTTCACCAGAGAACGACAGACCGACCTCGCTGGTCCCGGACCTCATCGATTACAACATGCCTCTAACTGCCACCTACCTGAAACAAATGAAACTGCAGTGCATGACTGCCACTGAAAGGGTAAGTGCCTCTCTCTCTAAGTGGATCTTTGTGAGGTGTGGGCAGAGATAAAAGCTTTTCCACCCCAGGTATAATTGCACCGACTGCACGAGTCACCTCGTTATTTTCTTTAGAGGCAGCAGGGAGACATGCTCTGCACGGGGAAAATAGGACGTAATACGAAACAATCAGAGGGGGGAGCAGCCCAGTGTGAAATGAGGATTAGTAAATCTGTGGTGACGTCATGTGAGAGACCACTCCCATGTGTAGCTGTGACAGAAACACTCGGGAACTGCTGCCACTAAAGTGCAGGGAGCGGCACTTGATGCTGATAATGTAGACCTCACTCACGCATAATTAGGATTATCCGGAACAATGACCCAGACTGTGATTCGCAGGTGAGTACAAATTAACAAACGCTCAGACTGTTGGTCGCATCTGTGCGCAGACAAGAGTGTGAGCAGGCCAATAATTTAATTATTAACCATCACAGAGGTTTATTTCAGCGTTGTAGTAATTTGTTCCATATCTGTGCAGCACTGGTTTTGGAGCTCAGAGCAGCAGCTGTTTCATAATGCAGCAGATCACAAGTAAATTCACGACTGTATGTTTAGTCTGTTGGAGCTTCACTTCTCAGCTGCCTGCATGTTGTTTTGCAGAACTTTGTTGGCTGCTAACATTCATCTCTCACTTTCTGTCTGGTAAAGAAACAAACGGCAGAAGTAATGAGTGAAAGAACATGCGGCAAAACCAAGTCTTTGATTTGTTTTCCACCCTTTTTATCTCACTGTTGTGCTCTTAAAGAGGCCATTTTGGTTTGTCACAGGCCTCCAAATATAAACAGAAAGTCAATGGTCTGCCATTAAATAGTATTCTAGGTGTGTATCTTAATTGTTAAGTTGGTAAAATAGAAGATATTTTGGGTTGAGGTTGAGATATTTGCTCCAAAGACAAATAGATTTTTTTTGCAGATCTCTGCAGATTTCTGTCCATCTTAAGACAAACATATCTGCAAGCTTTCATCTGCACTGTAAGCTTTACTATCTTCAAAGAGTGATGCATCTAACCTACAATGCATGAAGTGAGCCTGTTTTAAAAGTTAACCTTGCCTCTCTTTAAATTATGTATCTATTTCTAAGCACAGACATTAATGATGCTACACATTCAGCTACTTAGAAACATGTAATTAGGAACCCTCCCCTCTCTCTCTTTGATGCTCCACGGCTCACTTGGTGCCTAATAGAGCTGTCACTGAGCATTTTGGTCCTCCACGAACCCCCTAACAGAGGGAAGGCTGCGTATTCCCAGGAGTTTAGGCCTATTTGTGTACTCGTGTGGGGGGGAATGAGATGACGAGATGCATTTCTGCTCCATTCACGACACACATTGGTAGTTGTGCTCCCTCTGAGTGAGACACATGACAGCGCGCATGCAGGTCATTTATGCGAACATGAATTAAATCGGCCTGGGTTGCACTTTGAAGCTCAGCTTTGGTATGAAATGTAAATAGGATTCATGCATTTAGTTTGGAGCCAACTCAGGACAGTCTGTGAATAGTTTGAGAGATTATTTAGCGCTCCTTCGCTTAATCCTCACCCTCGTGGCTTACTCATGTTTGTCTTACGCTAGAACAAGCTTCTTCAGGATTTCTGCATAACACAGTTAAAAATAGCAGTGCTCCAAGAAACATATTAGTTAAACGAGAGAGTCTCCTGCTTTATTCTGCTCTTTGATGTCATCACTTTTTAGCCAAAAAATATCCACCAAAAACATATGAACTGGAAGTTGGTGGCTGTGATGTTTCCTCTGAACATTCTGGGCTCAGTGAGACCTCGCTGGAAGAATTTAACCTTCAAGCCAGCAAATTTATGTATTTATATGTGCAATTCTGGTATTTTTAATCATAAAAATGCTTCCTACAGGAATGTTTACAGGAATTGGTGCAGCAGGTAATAATAAAAGGTTGTGTGGGGTCATTTATACATGTTGTACATATGTTTTATTTTAACATTATAGACTCTAATGTTATTGGAATTGGTAAAATGTTTGGTAATTATTTGATAATAAGACTTCCTAAGCAGTGTTGATATATTTCTGCAAAAAAATATTTCAAATTCTTCTGCAAAAAATATTTTGAATATAATAAGATGTTTGTTTAGATTTAGTTTGGAACAGAAACACGGAAGTAACAAATGACAAAAACAGTATGATGTAACATGATAACACCCATTTATCCCGTTAAATTGTACTGTGATAGACTCACACTATAAGCATCCTTTTTTCAGAGGATAGCTACTTTTAGCTGTTAAATTTCACAAAAAAAAAAACCTAACGCCACCCTAATGGGAATTTTTTTCCTCCAGCTGGAAATGAACCTGAGACTTTTTTATTCCCAACTGAATGTGTTAACCTCTGCACTATGGAGACACTATAAGTACAGCTTTTATAATATTAAATAAAAAAACATTTGTTTTGTAAGCTCTTAGCATAATTTGCTTGTATAATTTTCCGCATTCAGTTCCCTTTTGCACAAGCATGTTTACAAACTATGACTAATGACGTTAGAATATTTTTGAATCTCTGTACTGGATAAAGGAAATGGTATAGGTATGATAAACACAAATAAAGCCATTAAAAGGTATTCCTGTATAAAATATAATGGGGTCATAAATTACTCCACTCAGTCATTTTCAGCGCTTGAAGCTTGAAGCAATTTAAATGGCCATCATTTTGCAAAAACAAGGATATTATCTGTGAAAAAAAATCCCCACCATCAATATAAAGCCTCACATTAGCTTCTTATAGAAACTGAAAGGAAGGACTAACACAGGGCGAAGCACATATCGGTTTGTGATAAACTCGGTCGGTGTCAACCTGTCCCTTAGCAGCAAAAACTGTAATCAAAGTTGTCAGAACTGTGAGGGACCACTCCACGCCCTCTTCCCTCCTGTTCACTTCTCTTTTCCACTCTCTCGCTGTCTTTCTTTCACGCCGCCTCCCTTCAGGATGACAGTTCGGTGAGCAGCGAGGACATGAACAACGCTGAGCCCACATGGGTCGCAGCTGAGCAGCCCCCAGTGCCTGAGTCGAGCCCACCGAATGGAGAGAGGGTCAGCAACCCGGCAGCCACCATTAAAGAAGAAGATGGTAAGTGGCTGCAAACCGCCGCAGCACAGTCCTCTCTTATCTCAGCATCATACTCCGCCCTGTGATTTTTTTTTCCCTTTTATCTTTATTTACATCTGGAAGGCATCAGATTGGTGTTATGCAGGAAACAGCTTGCCTTGTTCTTAGTGGACTAATCCACATAAATCCAGTCTTACAGAGGGTGGGACACCACCACAGCCCCAATCCACTCGTCACCCCTCTCCCTCAGAGCTTAGAGAAGTAGGACAAAGGCCGATGTTAACCTTCACAGATTAGGAGAGAGAAAAAATTGGGGCAAGTCACTGAAAGGGATTGATTCTGTGTTTCGCCAAACCTAGGTGTGACACGTGCAGAGATCTTAGCAGTAACTGGCTTTAAAAGCTGCACACAGCAGGAAAAGAAGGCTCGCCCTCTCCCCATTGGTCCCTCCTCGTCCTCATCTCTTTCTGTTTTTTCCCCTGCAAAACTCTTAAGATTCCCTATTTTTACTCTAACTTTCATTTGTGGTGACAGTTGACCCCATTGCACACTTCCTTCACAATTTCATTATGCAGAGCACGAGGCAGGAAGTCCCCTCTCCTACTCCAACTCCCACTCTAAAATCTATTCCAGTAAACAGCCCCACATTAATGCTAAATTATGAAAACATCTGCACAGCTCATCTTCGTATCTGCGTCTGTGTCTCTTTCCCTCCCCTCTGCCAGATGACGACTCCTCAGAGAGCGGCAGCGCCAACGGGCTGCCGGCTCTGACCTCCCCGGAGGTGCTAGCCGTGGGTGGGAACGTCCCAGATGGTGGGGCATCGTACAGGGAGGTAGCAGAGAACGGGGTGAGCGCTCCCCTGGACTTCAGCACCACTTCATCTTCATCCTCCTCGGAGGATCAGCAGCCGGTGAATCTGAGCGACAGACTGCTGCCAGCGGGGAGCTCGCCACCAAACTCCTACCCTGCAGACCCCAACAGGAAGTACCCCATAAAAACCGAGTACACCAACAAGGTAACAGCAGAAACATGATGTGCACTGATCACGATAAACTCCCGTGTGTCTGTGTAATCCACAACAATGGATTTTTTTGTGTGTTTCTCTGTGTTTAGTCCCCTCCGTACAGCTCAGGAAGCTATGACTCTGTGAAAACTGAGCTGAGCATGAGCGCAGAGGACCTGACCTCTGCTCGAGCACAGATAATTGACGACGATGACGACGATCATGATGACCATGATGACAGCGACAAGATTAATGACGCTGAGGGGCTGGACCCTGAGAGACTTAAAGCCTTCAATGTAAGTAATATTTGCAGCAGACCTAAATTAATGTGGATGGAAAATACAGCGCAGAGCTGTTCATCAGCCTGTCAGCACAGATGTTAAATCATATGTATTATTACTCCGCGCACATGCTATTCTTTATTGCTTTGCTACATATTGAATCAGTCTCAAAAGATGACAGCCTATGGTTTAATGATGTGTTTCCAGCACAACGGGGTCTAGTTTTTGTATTTTTTCAGTAGGTTTTATTTTTATTCAGTTTAATATTTTTTGCTTTCAGCTTAGTGTAGTTTGAAGTGAGGTAAATAATGTTTAGTTTTAATCATTTTCTTAATTTTTGTTTTTGCGATATGGGCGGTATTTGTCAGACAGAGATTTAAGAACATCAGAAGAATAATTTTTTAATTTTATTTTCCACATTCAGGTTCGGTACCTTCTCTTCAATTTAAATTACAAGAATTTTAGTAATTAAATGAATTTTTCAGATATGGAACTTAAGTCACTTCACTGGTTAGTAGCAAATTTGTCTCTTGCAACAAAAATTCATTACGTCCATGCGCACTTTTTAAACCTCAAAGTCCGCCTCTTTGGACAAGACAGAGGACAAAACTCAGTAAAGATGCACTTGGAACAAACTGACCAGCAGTAAAACAGAACACCTTATTAACAGGAGACCTTACACAATAACTACACCATAAACTGTTCTCAGAATAAATAAAGATAAATATGAAAAGATGTATTTAAAAAAAATAGATATGAAATAAATAATTTGACTGTACTCGTCATATCAGGTATGTACAAACAACATAATGATAATTTGACCTGTTTAAATGTCACATGATCTGACGTGTGTTTTCTGATTGGTGGTGTTATGGACACAGTGGCTTTCGCTTTTAGGGGTTTTTGGCAGCAAATCAAGTTTTGGGAAAGGCTCTGTGCGGGACTTGGCGGGGGGGGCTGATTATCTTCTACTACACGCTGAAAGCTTTCGCTTGAGATTGTTATCTCATTTGTGACAGAGGTGGAGTTTAGAGGATTTAGTTACCAATAATAACCTTGTTTTCAGCAATGTACATTTATTTATAATATATCTTCTGCATTTGCTCTTTTTATTGTGAAAACGAACAAATAACAAAGGATGAATCATGGCAATCATGACCCAAAACATTTGTATTAGTACTCTTATTAAGTGGCTTCGTGGTGTAGTAGTTTTTCACATTCTCTTAACAAGCAAAAGACCCCTGGTTTGCTCTCGGGAGGAGACAAAAATCCCTAAAAACTCAAATATGTGGAGCTACCTGCTGTGGTAATGCCTTGTGAATAAGGGAGCAGCTAAAAGTAGCTTGTTAAGTAAATAATAATGTGGTGGTAGTAAGAAGGGTTGATAAAGGTATCAAAGAAGAAACAGACTGACAATTGATATTTTGAAATGTAGTTTTATGTGACACAGAGGGGTCTCTGTAGGGTTTGGAGCTCATTACACCACAGTTTCTACTGGTGCGGTGGAGGTGGGTGTGGGGCATGATATTTACAAGTTTTCTAGATGGGAAGAATTTGCATATACAAGCTTGTTCCAAACTATCCTATTTACTCTGTGAAATCCATTTTCTGTGCATTTCTGGTTTGAAAAGAAACCAGTAGAATAGCAAAAGTAGACTTCCAAATATGCCAACACAACCAGAAATATTGCCCTGGATTTGAGCAGTGACTCAATTTCCATCCCTCCTGTTGTCATCACCTCCCCCTCCCTCTTTATCCTCTCTTCTTCCACTCTACCTCTACTGCTCCCCCCCACCCCCAACCTCCTCCCCTGCCTTTCCTTCCCTCTTTTGTTTGACTCTCACACCCCTCTCTCTCTCTCTACCCTGCACCCCCACGATTTTTTCTGCTCTACATCCCTTCTCTCCCCTCCCCCTTCTCTCTCTCTCTCTCTCTGTCAGATGTTTGTGCGTCTGTTCGTGGATGAGAATCTGGACCGCATGGTGCCCATCTCCAAACAGCCCAAGGAGAAGATCCAGGCCATTATTGAGTCCTGTAGCCGCCAGTTCCCAGAATTCCAGGAGCGCTCCCGCAAGCGCATCCGCACCTACCTCAAATCCTGTCGCCGCATGAAAAAAGGCGGTTTTGAGGTACAAAGTGCCCCCAGATTAAGTGTTTTCTGCTCAGCTCATAACTATTCACATTCATAATGAAAACCTCTCACTCGCCCCACTGCCAGATACGACCAACACCTCCCCACCTCACCTCTGCCATGGCCGAGAACATCCTCGCTGCCGCCTGCGAGAGCGAAACCCGAAATGCTGCCAAGAGGATGCGGCTCGATGTCTACCAAGCGACGGTAAATGTCTTGGCAGTTGGTGTTTGTGAATCTGCCCAGCAGGGATTTGGGAATGTGCTCGGCTGGCCATGCGTCATTAACAGCAGACTGCACAACACAAAATCCAATGTTCTGCCTAAACTGAAAATATTTAATTTCTTGTAGGATGAGCCAGCTTCTATTGACAAACCCATCTTGAGGGACCCAGCCCCCGTGGCTCCTTCGGGATTTTCCATTTCCAGTGCAGCTTTTGCCCAAGACCAGCTCTACACCAACGGAGGCCTCAACTATAACCTGCGGGGATATGGGACGGTCGGCAGCACCCAGCAAAACTCTGATGTTGCGCAAACCAACGGTGAGTCGCTTTCATTGGATTGTATCATCTGCCTTCATAACTTGTAAAAGCAAGGGTCAAAAGGAAACCCACAGTATTTAAGAGACTGTATTTAATGAACTAGATATAAAAGCTAGTGTAAAAATACATGTATTCTTTTTTATGGCCAGCAGGGGGCATCACCTCTGGTTAGGAAACGGAAGCCACATTTTAAAGAGGCCTTTGGGGAAAAATGACCCTACTTCTCACTTTATTTATGACCCCTTGATCTGAAACTTGATCTTCATTTCGTAAACTGGGGTTTACTTTATAGTAAAATAGACAATAGATGTGTTTTGGGTGTGGCCTTCTTACAATCAAATGTTGCCGTATAAGAGTTCATCGACTTTGGTTTCTCTCACCAAGTTACAAACAAACAAACAAACAAACAAACAAACATAGGTAGAGCCAAAAACAAATAAAAAAAAAAACCCTTTTATATATGCTCCATGGCTGGTCCAGTCACACTGAAAACACATATTCCACATTTTGTAGACTTTGTGTGGCTATCTGTCATTAATGGAATCAGTGGTAATCAATGGCAAAAGGACTTCTACACATTTGCTAAGATTTACCAAAACTACCTAACATTTGTACATCTGTACCTTTGTGAAATAAGCTGCAGCTCAGAAGCCTGCTTTGTGACTTCTTTTAATGGTCACCACCCTGCCTGAAATAAACCAGTGTGACTTGGTAAGATTAGCATATAGATAATCTGAGACCTGGTGAGTTATTCTGGTGATGATGCCTTTCACCAGGAGCTTCCAGTTAGCCTGAGGATATACATATGAAGACTTCCTCTTCCGGTCACTGGTTAACGAAGCTCCTGTTTGTTTTTATTGACAAATAAGAAAAAAGTACTTCAACAGCATGTCTGAGTTTTTCTACATGATAGAGAAATACTTTGCTAGATTTCATATTTACTATAAGCTTGACTTTTGGGACTAAATTGTAAGTAATAACTGCCCGATCGGATCTAATAATGAAACAAAGTTTTGTCTTGTTTTTTTAACCTCTGTTTTTTCTTTTTCTTATTAAATTGTGTGGAGCCACAAAATAGCAATTTCTATGGTAGATAGTGAAAAATATGAAACTTCTCGGTCATTTAAATGTTCATGTATTACTTCATTACTTTGATGTAGTATAAATGACGCTGGAGGTTTTCATCAGTAGGAAAAGCTGTAAAATTTATGAAAATACATGTAAAAGTCCAAAACCCATGCCCTTCTTCACATTTCCAAAGTCATCCTGTGGGCCGTATTGGAGACTTTGGCTGTTCGATTCTGGCCCCTGAGCCTTATCTTTGACGCCCCTGCCTTAGATCTACAGGTATATATTGGGGCATAATGTGTCAGCATACACACAAAACTTACATTTACACCAAATGACGCAGGCTGTAATCTGCAGTATTTCCCTTTTGAGGACTCACTGTCAGTAGTTCTCAGGCCACACCTTCATCATTTCATTCATCCATTTCTTCTTATCTCCTTAATTCATATTTCTTCTTCTTGCTTACATGTGACTTTCAACCAGCCCTCTGACTAAACAATTATATCTGGGGGAGGACGGCTACTTTACGTGTCCAAATCATCACAGGCTTCTTGATGCCCCCAACTCTCACTGTCCTTTACTTCAACGTCTTTACACTTTAACTGCCACTTCACCAGTTTCCGTGGTTAGCCCATTTAAAGCATCATTTTTGCTTATATAATAGAATAGACTGATTTTTTCAGTGATTTATATTAAGGTAAAGACCCCGCAGTAATACAGAGAAAACCCCACAGTCAGACGACCACCCTCCCACTGGTGACAGTGGGAAGGAAGAACTTTCTTTTAACAAGAAGAAACCTCCAGCAGAACCAGGCTCAGGGAGGGGCAGCTGTCTGTCATGAACAGTTGAGGGATTACAGATTTCTTTGGACTGTGAACCATCCAAAGCCACTTTAGTACGATCTAAAAATACAAAGATGAGGCTAGAAATGAACATAGAGCCAGTTAAATGTATTTGCTGTATCGTCTGACTTCCCTAAAATATTCTGTTTGCCTCCGCAGGTCCCACAGATCTGAGTATGAAATCTGTCGGCCCAAACTCCTCCTCCTCCAGCTCCAACAGTCACGGTCAGGGAGGTGGCGGAGGCGGCGCTTCCGCTCAGCTCAGCCCTCCAGAGGTGACAGCGGTGAGGCAGCTCATCGCGGGGTACCGGGAGTCCGCGGCCTTCCTGCTCCGCTCAGCAGACGAGCTGGAAAACCTGATCCTGCAGCAGAACTGAGTCCGAGCCACACCGTGCCAGCTCCCTGCCCCCTCCTCGGTCTGTCCGTCTCGGGGCAGACTCTCACATACAAAGACACAGTTGTACACGAGTGATACTGCAGCGCACAGTGGGCCCTGTAGGTATGATACTTATCCCCACATGTTTATGTCTTTGGGCGGGCCAGAACATATCACAGGCTGAAAGATGTTTATTTATGCATTTGGTTCACTTTGACCTTATAGTGCCCTGTTATCTGTAGCCATTCATCCCATTCAATTCATCTTAGCACCTCAACCTCCATTTGTCTCAGGAAGCGATGATCTATGTGAAAAAAAAAGTAAAATAGGAAAAATTGGTGCACAGACTGAGGTGTTGAATCAGCTTAACCACCGTAACGCCAAGTCAGCTCATTTGTGCAGACGTTTGGACAAATGAATAGTTTCCTAGCAGTGAATTAGCATCATTATTTCTTTCTATTTGTGTGTAAAATATGCTGTACAGTGGCGTGATTTGATTGGGTCATGTGAATCGAGTCGTTTCTAAATGATAACCGGATAACTGAAAGTCCACAGATGAATTGCTGCTAAAAGATGTGGCGACCTGCCACTTGACCTGTTAACCTCAACAGCTACTGTCGGATATGCTGACTTTCATATATATATAAATATATATATATATATACTCCAAAAAAATAATAAGATTAAAAAATGTTACAAAGTAGAGCACGAAAATATCAGCAGTGACAGTGTTTGACAGTTTTCACCTGTAAAGTTTGACCAAAACAAGCAGATCCATCAACGCGTGGTCAATATTATACCTCTGCTCTGCTCGGTCGGAGTGATTTCCAGACTACGAGACAAAGAGTCATTACCCAGCGCACCTTTTCGTTTTCACTTATCCTACTATGAATATTTCTATCACGGGCAGTTTCTCATTACTCAAAGGGAAGGAGGCTTTTTTGGAGGCCTGGGTATGCAAATTGAGGTCACAGACTCCTGTCAGGGAGAGAAAGGAGATGAATTTATTGTTTAGACTCTTGGTTTTATAACCAGAAAAGTGGAAAAAGGTGCAATATTGAAGATAATCGGTAATGGTTGCTGAAATGACTTGATGAGGCATTTTAAGAGGGTTAACTACCCTCCCCTCTTGCTGTTACTGTCAAGTTGTAAAAAGTAATGATATCCCATGCAGCATTGTAGCCAATTTCAATGTTGTTGTTTGTTGTGATTACTGATCTTTATCGCTAACCTCATAACTGAGGCACTTTCGTGTACTTGGATCAGTCAGTGACAAAAAAGGAAAAAAGGGACCTGGCAGAAAAAAACGGGACTTTATGTTGCACGTCTTTTTCAGGGGAGGGCGGGTTGTTTCGTGGAGGAAGTGTTTAGTGACTATTCTTACGTTTAGAAAAGGTACATAGAGCTCACATGCATCCATTAGAGACTGCGGCGGAGGCCGTGTGAGCGCGCGAGCGGGCGGGATGTTCAGACAAAAAGAAACTCCTTCGTCTGGGCGCGCGTCCGTCTGAATCGTCCCCTCTGACCCTGCATCACAGTCTCATTAAAAACACGTCTGAAAACACACAGTTTGAAAAGAAGCAAGAGACAATCTTTGAAAAAGATGTAATCACATCACAGTTTACTCTCCCAGCTCTCTGCTATGGTGTGTGTGTGTGTTTATGTTTGTGCATGTGTGTGGACTGAGGACACAAACGAGTACTCAAAGCCGATCAAGAGCACAGCCTCACAACTTTTAATGGTGAGTCACTCAGCACAAAGACAGTTCTGTATGTGTGTGTGTTTATGTGTGTGTTCTTTTAATCCTTTCTGTCGATGTTGACAGTGTGTTGATTTCCTGTTTGTGTATAAGTGGAGTGACGCAGTTTGTAAACAGCATCAATCTGTGACGATTTAATTCAGTAGGCTGAAACATTCCAGACAAAGACTCTTCGAGCAGCCAAAAGCAGCTCGCACCTTACTGATTTGTCAAAGTTTAGAGAGCTATATTTCTGTATGTATCACAAATCCTATCACATGTATCATTAATCAGTCTCTTCAGGGTCATTCACCTCTTTCTCACCACCTGCAGGCCTGGCTAGTGAGTCGGGACCTGTGTTTTATTACCATGTCATGATTGGGCTACATTCACATTTACATTCACATTTAAATTCTATTATCTATTGCAAGTTTGGAAGCACTTTATAGCTCAGGATTAAGGTAACACAAGGATTTGAGTGTGTTTTTACCTCATTTGAATAATTAGCTTCAGTTCTGACAAATGATCATAACAAAGGATAATCTGACATAAGTCACAATCAGAGGTAGTTTTCATCAAGAAACAAAAAAACAAAAAACAAAACAGCAGACAGCTCCTTTATCGGAGTTTAAACTCATCAGTGTGTTCGGTCCATCTGAGCGGTGTTTCATAATAGAGGACAGAAGCAATGCTTGTTATGAAAGGCCTGAATAAGCCTTGTTGGAGACCATCCCTAAAGCTGATAATGACCAATCAGATTTCTTTCACTTATTCAGTTAAGGTCCCCAAGGGGCTGGAGCCTGTTTGAAGTGTCATACAGTGCTAACCACTGTGCTGCACCTAGTAATCTTAGCTTTGGTAAAGTCTGACTTCAAACTTTAGTTTGATTAGTTCATAGATAAGAAAAAAGAAAAGCAGCTGTAACGTTCGTGGCTGAATAACCGTGAAAGATACAATAAAGAGATTTAAAAGAAAAAGTTCAGCAAAGTTAAAAAAAAAAAAAGGTTAGCAGTGGCCTCTGGGGCTGAACAATGAAGTCGCAGTTCAAGAGCTGTTCTGTCTTATGGCCTAGGTATAGCAAACACTTTAAAAAATGACTGAAAAAACATCAAAGCTAATCGCACTCAGCGGCCTGAAATTAGCAGAGAAATGTAAGAGTTAGTCTGAAATCTTTTCAGCTTTTATATACTTTAGTTATGATTTCCTTGACATGTAACCAAGGAGCCAAATTGCTTTCAGACTTAATTAGTTAGACCTACAGCTGGCCATAGCAATGAAATTTGTTATACAGCACTGAAACTGGGCTACAGCTTACAGGTGTGCCAGTCATCCTAATAAACCCGCTTTTTACGGAGTAGATGGTCATGATTGGCTAGAATGGGCAGAACTGGAAACATTTTAACCAAGTGCCAAAACCTGCAGTTCCTCTAGTGACCACTTGAAGCTGTAAAGCTCAAGGTTAGGGGATGTAATCAGAGTCTGCTAGGCCTCACCCTGGCTAATTTGTGTTATCGCCATGATTTTGCTGTTCGTGCCTTTTGTAGAATTTTTTTATGGGAAAATCTGAGACATTTTATTTTTTGCTGTGCAGTGCAAATATCCAGAAAGTTTGTGATTGGCACGTTAAAGTCTAGTGTTTTATTAACTAGATGAAAAGTGTCTATGCTTGGACTTATTTGGATGCAGTTTTTGTCCCAGGCTTGCTGATATCTCAGCAATCTGCCTTCTTATCCACATACGATCACTTCTGGCTCCAAAAATCCCAACATGTCTCAGTCAAAATGCTTAAACTGAGGCTTCACAAACCAATTAATCATATGAGAGCCATCTTTTATATGGAATTTATGGTTTAAGCCTCCTAAAGGTGAGTGATTTCGTGATGTTGCTGAAACAGCCTTGGTTTAACTGGTCATCTTACTTTATGAAACACCCCTCTGGCCTCACACAGACATAATCATAGATGTACACGGGACGCGAGTCCTCACACACGTCTTCCTCGTCTCCTCCAACCTGCTTGTTTGTTACTGTAGCCATAGCAGATCCTCCACATGTGACACCTTGTTGAACCTCGTCCCATCTTCACAACCAAACATTTGCTTGCAGATCGATATTTTGTCTCAAGTCTACGCTGAGCAACATTTTAGCTGTGCTAGAGTTACTGTGATCAACGACAACCATTAGTTGTCATGTTGTTGTTTTTGTTTTGTTCCGTTTTGGTTTCTTTTGATAATGCCCAATGGATTTTCTCTTTGTATTGACTGGACAATGTAATCTATTGGTGTTGATTAAAATGCCCTGGTAGCTTGTGGATTGCTAAAGTGGTCTGATAAATGTACTGTATAGCTGTACAAAGAGTGATAAAAGATGTTTTAAACCTTTTCTTTCTTCTGTGGGTACAGCGCTGTTTAAAAAAAAAAAAAATCAAAGTGGTTTAGCCCTTGCCTGTTTTAACTTATCATTTGGTGGTGGTCTGTATTACTTCTATTGTTATTTATATTATTTCAATTGTTGCCTCTTCTGCACGGATAAGTGACTGTAGCTCTGTGCAGGAGGTTGTACTGTAAACCTGTGTGAAGCTTTGTATTTTTCCCCTCTGGTTTTGGACTCAGTGAAAGTGTGATGTTTACATGTACAGTTTTTCAGAATATTTTGCTTTTGTTTGTTTTTCGCGTTTTATTCCGACATATTTTTTGCCTCTCACACTTATTCCTCTCCTTCTAATCTGTGTACATTTGCCCAGGTATTTTCTTTTTGTTGTTTCATTGCATCAAGTGCAGACGTGACCTCTTTGACTACCTGGTCACATGGTCAGAGTGTGCCGTGTCAACTGGCTGCGGTCGGCTCGGCGTTGTGGTGGCTTCCAACATTTTAAAAGTTAATATTAAGTAAAACGGGAGCTTCGCAACTTCTCAAAGTGGACCAGCAAAGATTAATTAAGGATTTTGATTACTTTAATCAGCTGTTTTAAACGACTATTGTGGCCTAAACGGAGAACGATGGAGTGTAGGTACATTTATTTTCTACATGAAGTGCTCATAATCTTTTAATATCCCGGCCGCGTTGTCAGGGAAAACTCCTTGTCCTTAACCCGACAGGTGTCCTGAAAGGTACACTTTGACCTGTTGTAATATCTCCTCGGTAACATAAAAGCCATTCCCCTCTCCTGGCCTTTTAAGGGGAACCCATAAACCTCAGGTAATACTGAATCTCCAAGTTTAGTTTTTATCCGCTGATTTCCTCTGAAATGAGATTTAAATCTCTTAACGAAAACCATTAACATTTATATGAGATGTCTATTGTTTTGTACATTTATCATTGTGATTTAAAAGTGGAGCTTTTTCCAGTACCTGTGACTTAATTTTTTGGAGTGTTTATAGGTATGGATATTTATTATTATATGTGAAACTACAAAAAGACAAAAGAAAAAGGTTGAACCTGTTTCATTTGTATGTTTCATGCAAAACTGTCCAGGTGAGATTCTCTCTGCCTCTTACATATCACTAATGAGGGACCTGTGTTTGTTTGGAAATAGCGCTTTTTCAGTGTTGCATCAACGCTATGAAAAAAAAAAAAACACCAGTGGTTTACCAACAGCAGAGTTGCAAGGCTCTCCTCTTCTCCTGAGATGTCAGTAATTGAATAAAACAGTGCGATGAGCTATCAAACTGAGACCTCGGCTCGTGGTGTTTTACTTTTTTTCTTTAATTTCTGCAAAAATAAAGAGTCTCAGAGTCTCAGTTCATTTATATAGCACCAAATCACAAGACCAGTTGCCTCAAGGGACTTTATATTGTAAATGTATTGTATTATATTTATATTGTGAGATTGTTGTAATCCTAACAATCAAAACACCTCCTATGAGCAAGCACCAGACAAGAGTGGCAAGGAAAAACTCCCCTTTAACAGGAAGGAACCTCCAGCGGAACCAGGGTCAGGGAGGAGGGCCATGCTATGGAAGAGAGCCAGAGATTATTAATAAGTAATTATTAAATGCGAAGTTGTGAATAAACACATAGCAAGCAAAAACAAAACAGTGCATCATGGGAAGCACCCAGCAGTCTGCACCTATTACAGCGTAACTAAGGGTGGATTCAGGCTGAACTGATCCAATCCTGAATATATGCTTTATCAAAAAGGAAAATTTGAAGCTATATCTTAAAAGCAGAGATGGTGTCTGTCTCTTGAGCTGGTTCCACAGACAAGGGACCTGAAAGCTGAGGGCTCTGCCTCCCATTCATCTTTTAAATACTCTAGGAACCACAAGCAAATGAGCAGTCTGACAGTGAAGTGCTCTATTGAGGTGATATAGTACTATGAGGTCATTAAGATAAGGCGAGGCCTGATTATTTAAGACCTTGTGAGTAAGGAGAAGAATTTTTAATTCTGAGTCAATGAAGAGAAGTCAGTATGGGAGAAATATGCTCTCTCTTTCTACTCCCTGGCAGTACTCTTGCTGCAGCATTTTGAATCAACTGAAGGCTCAAATAAAATAAAAAAATTAAACACAGAGCTGCTTCAACACTTACTCATTTTATTCAGTATTAAGTATATTGTGCACAAGAGGGCAGCAGAGCCACAGAAAGCAGATGGAAAAGTAATGATTAATGTTTGCAAAGGAACCAAATAAATGCTGCATGTAGCACAGCCTTACAGACAGTAGTTCAATGTGTAAATGTTCATTTAAAGTTTCTTTATCACAAAAGTTTAAACACAATCTATAGGAAAATAGAAATAAAGCAAAACAGTTCAATAAAATGCACTACGACAAAACAAAATTATAAGTACTTAAAGTTTATTTAAGGTGCTTTTCATAGGTAAACAAATACAAATCTGCCCATGCCAAAGGCAAAGTGGACAGACAGAAGCCAAACATAAACATAGTAGTACAAAATTACAAACACTTAAATGCCTGTTTGAACAGATGAGTTTTGAGCTGCTTTTTAAACGATTCCGAGAGTCAAGGGAGCAAATACAGAGTGGTAAGCTAATCCATTGTTTTGGAGCTAATACTTAGAAGGCAGAATCCCTTTTTTAATTTTCTGATCATGAGAAGGCCTCTATCTGAGGACCTGAGAACCCCAGATTGAAGAAGAGGGGTGGAGCAGTTCCATGACACAGGTGGGGGCCTCAGTTTCTAAGGTTGTGAAAGTGACAAACCAGGACTTTTGAGATTTCTTTGAAATTGCAAACACTTTAATATTGGTTTATATGTGAGGACTGACGAGAATGATGAACAAACAAAAACCACAGAAGCAGGTGGATCAACAATCAAGCAGAAGAGAAGGAAAGGACGTTAGATACTCAGAAGCTCATATTCTCCAGTCTAGTTGAGGACAACAAGACATGGTGGGAGGAAGGAAAACCAAAAAGTACACAAAAAAAATTCTTTATCAAAATAAAAATGAAATGATCAGTCATCCTACACTGAAGCACAAAAAAACCCCCAAATACTAACCTTGAGATAGGCCAGAGATAGGAACAGATAAGGAGAAAAAGACTGCAAATCAGAAAACAGTGAAAGTACATCGACGAGAACATGGAGAAATAATCAGTGCTGTGACATCAGGATATCGTGAGTGTCAGAGACGTAGGGTGCTCACTGCTGGAAACAGTGTGCAGCAAGTGCTGCACAGGTAAAGCGTGAATGTTCCAATAATCAGCAATCACATGACAGACTATTGACACATGTTCTCTGTTATTGACTTTGTACTAGTGAGTACACTGACTCAGAACAAGTAAATATTCCCACAAAGCAAAATAGAAGTCTGTTTACATCATTATACATGTCAGCTTATTAAACGGTTATTAGTATTTACAGGCTTTACCTGGCTTAAAATGTTATTAGGAATTAAAAATAATCATTTAACAATCGAAAGCCAGTATTATGATGTAAATGTCTTCTATCACATCACAAACGCGCTCTATTGGATTGAGATCTGAAGACTGTGGAGTGAAGTGAACTCACCGTCATGTTGAAGACACCAGTTTAAGATGATTTTGTGACATAATAATAATAATAATGGATTTATATAGCGCTTTTCAAGGCACCCAAAGCGCTTTACAATGCCACTATTCATTCACTCTCACATTCACACACTGGTGGAGGCAAGCTACAGTTGTAGCCACAGCTGCCCTGGGGCAGACTGACAGAAGCGAGGCTGCCATATCGCGCCATCGGCCCCTCTGGCCAACAGCAGTAGGCGGTAGGGTAAAGTGTCTTGCCCAAGGACACAACGACCAGGACAGAGAGCCCGGGGATCGAAAACACTATGTGTTATCCAGCAGGATAACACATAGTGTTTTATCCTGCTGGAAGCAGTCATCAGAAGCTGGGTACACTGTGGTTATAAAGGGACGGGCATGGTCAGGCAGCAATACTCAGGTAGGCTGCAGGCTGCTGCAGTTGGGACCCAAAGTGTGCCAAGAAAATATCCCCCACATAATTAACCCACACACAGCAGCTTGATTTAGGATGGATTGATGCATTCATTTTGTTCTATACCAATTGCTGATCCTTCCTACAGAACTCACAAGACCAGGAAACATTTTTCCAGTATCTGGCTTCCAATCAGCTTGAAGCAGTCGGATCATTTTTCTTTGACCTCTGACATCAACAAGAAATTTTCACCCAGACAACTGCTGCACACTTTTCTCTTTTTCAGACCATCCTCTGAAAATCCTACAGATGGTTGTTTTGGGGAAAATCCCAGTAAATCAGCAGTTTCTGAACTACTCAGATCAGCCTGTCCAACCAATAACTGCCACATTTAAACTCACTTAAATCGTCTTTCCTCTGTGAGTTTCTGCTAGTAGCAGCTGAACTGGCGTATCTAAGTGCGTGAATGTTTTTTTGTTTGTTTTAATATTGAAAGTAACATGGTGGTCGTTGAGTCTATAACAATCAAACTGATCATTTGAACTATTTCAAATCATCGCCAGTAAAACAGTTAATGAGGCATTTAAATCTTCTAGTAAAGTCAAACATACATAATAGTATAGCCTCAAAGAGGCCATATGAAGTTCAAGTTACAATTTGACATGAGTGTTTTCGACCCAAGGTCTATTTTACCACCATTTTTTTATGTTAATTTTATTTCCAAACACTTTATTGTTTTGTTTTTTTTTGTTACATAGAGTTAAGAATAAACTTCACTCAGACATTGTTGGATAAAAGACGCTACTGCAAAGCCTTTGAAATCATAGTGTTTCGAAATGCATTTTTCAGAGTGTCGCTTCAAATCAAAACAAATTTTTTTCAGTTTGCTAAACTTGATCCTGTGAAGAAATACTAACAAAAACACAGACAAACATCTGTGGCCTGTGGAGAAAATCAATCAGGATTGGATTTCAACATGAAATGTCCCTCAGTGACAGATGAACCCACGTTCTTAGGCCATGCTGCCAGTCAAACATAGACATAAAAAAGGATGCGAGCAGTGTCCCTGCAAACAGTATAAACCCTTTTACTTGAGAAGTCAAACAAAGCTGATTCCTGTTATTCCTGTTATCTTATCAAAGCAGTTTAAAGTTGTACATTTGTTGGGAGTCAGAGGCTGGACTTTGGGGAGGCATCGATTCATGAACCAGATACCTTTGCCCCACATTCCCCATTTATCTTTAGAGTGTCTGGTCTGGATGGGAGCTCTGCGGCCATGCCAGGCTCTTTCACTGCACAGAGTCAGCATTCAGAAAAGATATGATTTCCTAAACTATTTCACTGACATGCATCATATAGAGAAAAACATTCAGTCTGTCTAATAACAACATACCCTAAAGAATAACACAAACCTGAAGTAGTGTACTTCTGTAATAAATCCTTAGATGGAGGGACATCTTTAGGATTATATAAATGGGAAACCAAAAACCAGTTAGGCCTCTTAGGCCTTAGGCCATCTTTATAAATAGACATAATGATATAGTTTGATATTAAAAAGTGCAACTAAAAAGTCATATAATCAGAGATATTATAAGTGTTTTAAATCAATTAAAAAAAAAAGACAGCATATTTTATATTGTAAATTAGCCTGCTGTAGGATTTCTGCATGAAAAGAAGAGCTAGCATGATGATTTTGACCCATTTCAACAGACAGTTCTCACTCATCCTTCAAAGTTCACCTTTGCAAATTAAAGGAGTGAGAGAATGGTAGGCAGGGAACCAAACCACCACCACGAGGCATTTTCAAAACTTAAAGTAATTATTTTGCATCTATTTGCACAAAAGCTTTGGGTTTATGCTTTTATTGGTTAGTGGAGAAAGGACCCAAGTTCAGTAAGCTCACGCTGGCAATGTTATCAACAATAAAACCAGCCTTTTTCAGCTGATCTAGAACTAAAGATGTGTAAAGTTCAATAGGCATAAACCAAACAGGGAATCCAGATAAGGGAAAATTGAGGTGAGGAAAACAATCACAAAGGAGGGAACTCAAGGCACAGCAGACATGGAGGGAAGTGTATTAACCAAAATAAAAAAGACAGTGGACATAAGGAGAACAAAGACACTAAAATAAAGACAAGACAGACAGAGGCAAAGTCTGAGAAACACTGGAGACAAATAGGAAAACAAAAACACCGAAAGAAGATTAATAAAGTGA